CGCATGACCGCCCGCGTGCTCGCATGCTCGGCGTGAATTCGTGGAGCCGATCGGTTCGAGCTTCTCGCGCTGTTGTTTCTGCCGGGCTGTCTGGCTGCACTTGAACGTGTGTGCATGTTGATTTTCGATGAGATTGTTTTCAAAAAAAGAATTTAACTTACGACCTTGCACACGACATTGTCCATGGGTTAACAGATGACGGTGTTGAACGAACCTCTAACATTGCAGATAGAGCCTTGGTTGTTATGCTGTCTGAAATTTCCAGGAGGTGCGTTTGCACACACTGTTGTGCACACTCCAACAACGTCTTCTGTTTAACGCAGTCTCCTCAGTTCTCTCATTCGGGAGCTTAAAGAGGCGGTGCAATGATATTCAATTGGAATGTTTTTCACTTTACACGAGCTTACTGGCACTATAGTGGGACTCAAGGATACTCGCACGCAACGCCACTGACCAAGAAACTCCTCTGTTGCGCTGTAATTTCGAGGACAAAACCCAGTGTTTTTATTCAATCTCTTCTTCGAAAAACCTGATGACATAGCTGGACGGTAGCAGTACCGCCCAGTGACGATATTTGAATACGGCTCATAGATTGGACCCGAGCATGGCGTGGACACTCGATTTGGGCTCGTGATAATCGATAGCTCGAGGAACATTCGGGTAGTGTCCTGTGTCAAATCGCTGCAATGACGACAACAGCCGAACCATAACAATGTCTGGAACTCAGCGCGTGTCCTCTGCCTTGCCAACCCCGGCGCATGACTATGATCAACATTGGCGGCATATAATCGCTCCAGATCACGGGGCCGCTTGTTCTGGCTGCGAGTTGAGCGGGTGAACTCTGCTCGTTTTTCTTTATGTTTTTCTGCGACTTCAAATGCGTGTGGTGAAAACGAACGGGTATATTTTACGGATCATTAACGTCAGGGATTAGTTCTAAGCGGTATTTGCGCAAAATACAAATATCAGTGCATCGCCCCTTTAAGGCGGTTGGCTTCACAGTAAAGGCTGTGGTCGGTGGTTAGGGGGCTTCAAACGTAAGCTTGGTGTATGTGGTGATAAGCCATTTTTTGAAGTTGACAACGAACACGTTTATTTTGTCTTTGATGTTCCGCACCTTCCCAAAACAACCAAGAGCAATCTCCAAGCCCACAAACTTTGCATTGGAAATGCGGTCATTGAGCGGTCTTCTATTGTTGAACTTCATTGTTCTATCCATGAGATTAGCTTGCAATTGACTCCGAAACTTACTGAGAGACACATTTATTCAAAAACCTTTCTGTAACATGGAAGAAAATTGTGCCCCACAGGTACTGAGTGCCTCAATCTTTCTTGTAATCATATCTCTTGTTTATGCAAAGGAACTTCCTGAGGCAGTCATGGCTACAGCCTATTTCTGTGATAGGATGTGCATACTTTTTGATTGTCTAAATAGCTAAAAAATTCAAAAAGACAGGGCAGAAGTTGCGTCATGCCATTCTGAAGGGAGAATCTCAAATACTTGATTTTCTCCACCAGTAACTCGGATGGATTTCAGCATGGCAGTTCCAAAGTAGGAGGCAGCCATAAGCCATCATTGGATGGCAAGTTACTATAAAAAGTGTCCTCATGCTCTTTGATGAGCTTTCAAGCAGCCATGACTTTAAGTTCTTACTTACACGACGCCCGCAGCAAGACACACTTGAGAACGTTTTTGGAGCTATATACGACAAGTGCTGGGCTGCAACACAAACCCAAATGTGCATCAGTTCACCTCAGGACTAAAACACCTCTGGATAAAGAAACTGTTCAAACTGTCGGACAATGAAAACGTAGAAGAAGACAAGGCTGACCTCCTAAAGGAGTTGCAAATATCTTCACACCATGAAAGTTTAATTTCAGACATTGTGGATTCCAATTGATAATTTCCCGCCACTAGAGGATATTTCTGAGCTGGCATCAGAAATCAGGTCTAACATAATTGATGACTCGTCCACGTTTTTATTACGTTTGGGGCTATTTGATCAAGCTTTTGCTTGAACAGACAACTTACAGCTGTGGCTGTTCTCAGATGCTATCGGATGAGTCTAATAACTTGACCAGGCCTCACCAGTACTGTCTTGTTCCTAAAGCATACCACGTGCCTGGAAAATTCTTCGGGAACTTAGTAGTACCATCACAGGCTGCCTTTCATTTCATTCAGCAACTAGAAAATCACTTTCTTCCCGTAATAGAGAGTGTGACACATGTTCGAGGAGTGTGTGCCGCCTTGTATAGCGCACTTTGAGGTCTGGGTGGTTTTCGCCTTTGCCCAGAGGAGTACCACAAAGGGTTTTTAAAATTATTTTGCACAATACGCTTGTGTTGACATGTTTGATTTCTTAACCGGAATTCGGACAAATTTCGGTTGCACTCTTCAGTGGCCAGTAAGAACGAGGCAGGTTTAACTGTTAATAGCGTATTAACAGAGGCGGTTGCCAAACCTAAAACAAAAAGTGATTAAGTGGGCGGTGCAGCTTGCTCTCCAAATATTTGTTTCCCCTTTTTCCAGCGAATGTGTATCACGGCTCCCTAACAAAAATATTTGTCCACTTACCTAAAAAAATTCGATAGAAAATAGTGTATAGAGGCTAAAAATATTTGAAAGAAAATGTATCCACTTTTGTATCCACTGTCCATAGTTTTTTAGCCGCTTTTTTCTGAAGCCATATTTCTTTTCTGAACAATTTCGGGGAATATTTAGGGATGTTGAATCTTGTCAGATTTCGAATAGAGTTCTCATTGTTTGGCAGTGGCTCGCCCGCAGTGAGTTTGAGGCTAATCAAAGTGGTGTTTTTTTTATATTTGCCGGAAATCGGGAATTTGTACTATCTGGCGTGTGCTTCGCACTGTTATTATACTCTTATGACTGGTAATGATAGGGATGTCTTATTTATTTTTGCACTTACTTCCCGTACCCGAGTCGGCGTGAAAGTGAATGTATCATACAGCATGCTCTCCGTGGAAGGGTTTTGTTAACTTGGTTCCGCTAAGAATCTATTGCAAAGTGTACGAATGCCGAAGTCCTTCATATTCATTTATTTTTGTGAGTATCGATCTCTTTTCTTATAAAACATACATAGCTTCTGAAGTAAATCATGTGTACATGAATGTGGTCCAATAAAATGTGTTCGAATCACTTACTGTTGTTGACCCCAAAATGCTCCACCAGCCAGGAGTCAATGCGGTGATTGTGTAACTTCAATGCTTTACAATAGAAAAAGAACAAGAAATATATATACTTCTGCTTTGTGAAGTAAGTTGAAATATTGTTTGACACATTTTGCACGAACTCTATCTTAAAAAATAAAGCAAAAGTGTGTCAGTACTAAAAAAAAACAAAAAAAAAACAGCGGCTTCAGGAGTCAAGGTGCTCCCGAGAGATGAGCGAGGCGGGGAGGAAAAAGAGAGAGAAAGGTATTGGAAAACCGGAGCAAAAACGCCCAAACCGAAACCGAAACTAACTTGACCGGAAACGGAATCAGATTATACTTCATACCGCCCGCTAGGAGCGCTACCTGTCACTGGTCTATCTGGGCCGCTGGGGCCTATGGCAGTGTCCGCTCTTTACCTTGTGTATATTACTCTATGATATTACTCTATGCTCGCTCCTCGCCTGGCCGAGGCATGACGGGATTGTCGACGCTAGAGAGCCCAAAGACGACGTACAGCGAGCGGCGTGAACGCTCGCCTCCCCGCGCTGTCTCGTGCTCTCGTGCACCGCCTAGGGATCGCGGGGGATTTTTCGTCAAAAGTTGCGAAGTTGAGCGCGCGCAGGGAGGAGGAAACTTTGAGGCGTTCTTTTGGTCACTCCCCCCGCTACGTCAAAAAGCGAAGAATGTTTTGCTCCACGAGTTTAGCTACCCTGGAGTCCTTTTTGCTTACACAGCGGCACACAGCAATGAAAAGGCATCGCAGAAGCAGCGTGTGGCGAAGTATCAGCCGCGCAACACCTTCTGTGGCCGCACCGGTGGCAGTGGTGTAGCGCACGTTGAGCCAGCGCCGATGCGACCATACATGCTTATGGCGGACGCACGCCGCGCCACGCCCACCTGCCAAGCTTTGCAACCGTTCCGGTAGATGGCGCTGAATTTGTAAAAGGGTCTATTGCAATTTCAACATAACATCTAAAACGAACGTGTGAAACGTTAATTAAGAGAGTTTAGTTAATTAGCCAACTTAGCGTAGCCATTGGACACTCATTTCGTGTCCACCGAGTCTGATAATTGCATGGTGAAGACAGTACTCCTCTAACTCCCACCCCTATTTAACAAGAAAAAAAAAAAACTGTTCAAAATAAAAATTACTTATAGACACCCTGCAAAAACATAATACGAATTTTGGCAATACTGTATTTACTGTTCAGAAGGCTAATAGAGGGTGTTCAGTATCTCGTATACTAGGGGTGCAAGTCCTGTGCGTTTGCAATGGCGTTGCGTGTTCCACACTGCGCGTGCGCAGAACCCACAACTGCGATCTTGGATTGGCGCATAGTGATGACGCGCATGCGCACAATGGAACACGCACCGCTAACGCAAATGCACAGTGCTTGCATTCTTTTATACGCAACACTAAGACTCTCTAATAGAGTATCAGATTCCTTGGGGTCATTGCCCCCTGTATGCATAATTGAAGTAAGAGCAGATACGTTCGACCTGTTTCGTTGATTACAAACCAAGCCCCGGACGCGTAAATTAGCAGGGTGTGTCGTTAAACGCTGCCGCATTTCCGATAGCCTCATCGGGTTGTTGTTAGCGATGTAGTTGGGAAAGGAAATAGACGCAATCGTGGTGTAGGCTCATATAGCCGTCTCTCGCTGCCTCCAACATCATGGGGCTTCAATCCGGATACTTGGCGAAAAAGTCGGCGAGGACTGTCCGGCGCTGCGCTTAACCTTGACACCGACGAATCACCGCCGCCGGATTCCTCGCAGACTTTTTCGCCGAATGTCTGCAGGTTAAAGCCCCTGCTCGGTCCCATACCTTCAGCGCCCCGGGTGTTGTCGAACTCGGCGCGGAAGGCAGTGTCCAGCAGCCAGTGTCGCTGTACCTGGAATCCCTGGTTCTCGAGGAACTCCGTGAGGCGCTCGTGGGCCTTGAACTCCTTCAGAGCCAGCTCGGGGTTCCGCCAGAGGTAGTCGCTCAGGGCGTGCAGTTCAATCCTCCTGCTGTCCACGGCCTTCTCGACGAGCGCTTCCAACGAATTCATCGCAGCACCACTTGACATATTCTGACGCTGCGGCCGTACTGCCTCGCGGAGTCGATATGGCAGACGGCCTCGGCAAGTGCTGATGCCCCCGCGGCTTTCGTCACGCTTTAGCGCCGCCAACCGCCGCCACGCTTCGGCGCAAGGCCGATTATCTCGCGTTCCGAGATCCAGCTCACGCTTATCACACTGCGAACGTAGATTCTTTATTCTAGTTTTTGTTCTTTCGCGCTCGTCCGACGTTTTCTTCCGTCATTTATCGGGGAGATTTGAGTCGCACAGTGTTGTTTTCAGGGTTCTTACTTCTTTACAGTTCCTGGACAGTGGGGTTTAGGGCGATGACTGTTACATCTGGGCCGCAAACAGGAGACCACTGGAATATAGATTTAATAGGATCGGGCCCCGCGGCGTTTGTCAGCTGGCGCACCAACCTGGCCCCACGCGCTCGGTGCGCAAGCTTCTCGGGTGGCCACGAGCTGATAAGCGCCAGTCTGTCAGTCAGTATATAACACCTCCTCCAACTAGTTGTGGCGCCCGTAGAGTTGCACAGGTCCTCGAATTCTGGTAGGCCGGTGGATGACTGGAGCCGGACCGGTGTCAGCCGTCGAAGACGCTGATGCTGGTTCCCGAGGCAAAGTCGTTGGCTTGTCGCCAGCTCTCGGATATGGACTGTTTGGTTGAGCCTGACTGTCGGAGCTGTGTGATGGTGCCTGCGTTAGAGCAGGCACCATCACCAGTCATCCGTCCGCCTGTCCGCCTCGATGTCCCGGTCAGGAGGCCACGTGTCCGGTTTTTGTCACACATAAGTCCTGTCCGTCGCTTTCATATATGGTTGCGATGTCGACGCACCAGACCTTGATCAATGAGCGTAAGTCTATCTTACGTTCCATCACTCCTGCAGTCCAACCTTGACTGCTTGGGAACTTCTTAGTCAAAGCCGCCTGTCCTACGCTCAGCATATGCCCGGGTTAGTAGAACCGGCCGTTCTTTCAGATTCTTCAGAGAAGCCTAGAGGCAGTGGCGTAGCTAGACCATCTGGCACCCGGGGCCCTTAGGTCTTTTGTCACCCCCCCCCCCCCCCCCCCCTGCTCCCCGAGACCGCTAAGCTAAAAGCCATAAGCTAGAATGCGCTCATTAAAAGCGTTAGTCAGCGCATTCTAGCTTTAACTTCGCTCGGACATTATACTCCGTTTTATACTTAGTGTGCTACGCTGTCTAGGCTGCAGGCGCGAGACCATGGCTTCGTTAAGCGTTTCATTTGCACGCGCTCTCGTGCAAATGAAACGCTTTATGGGTATTATAAGTCACATTCAACTAATTTATGGACACGACAGTCATATTTCAATTTTCATTCCAGTACCCCTTTAAAGACATGCGGGTAGCACTTGGCAGTAAAATATTTGAAGCAGTGTCAAAGCGCTATCGGCACCTCGTCGGCTCCCTGATACCCCGCGACCCCCAGACATCGTCCTGCGATGTCTGGGGGTCGGTTTGCACACCTCTGGTTTAGAGAACGTGAAGGCTCATTTTAGAGAAATGCGGTTTGTACGCGGCGGCAAGCTACGCTTCCAAACAGACCTTGTGGTCACCCTCGGTATCGCTCCGGGAAAATATGATATAATATCAAGCTCGAGCGTGCACCGCCAAGGGTTCACCGCTAACGATTCGGCAAGCAACAGCATGCCGGCGGCCGCCATTTTATCTAAACAGAGTTTTGAGGCAATTCGGTAAGATGTCGCTAAAACGAGCCTCTAAACCGCACGCCTTAAAATGGAAAGTAATGCAATCAAACAATCGTTGGCCTACGGTATACTGCGGCTCTGAAGCCAGTCCGTCCACGCAGATTTCCGGAAGCTCAGCGGTCTCCACTCCAGTCATGGCACGCTGTGGCAACAGGGAAACGCCGTCGCCGTCACAACATTACGAATTCACTTGCCAGAACACAACATTGTGACCGCATCCCGACGGCGAGCGACGCGCTTCTAGATCTTACGGCGAGGTCAGAGAGCGAGGGAGCTTGCTGAGCAGAAGCCTTTCGCCAGCACCTCCTCTCGACACTTCCCCCTCGGGGTGAGGGAGACGACACGTTGAGAGTTTACCCAACACGTTTACCCCCTCCCCGCGACCCCCTTCATGTAAGACCTTCGTGCGATTTCTTTCTCCTTCGTCTGGCGCCTTCTCTTGCTGTCTCGGCGCAGTCCGGCCGTGGTCGGCGCAAGCCAGCGTCGTGTTGCGCCGGGTTTGGCGTAGACTAGGTGGCGTTGGCTCGGCGTGCCCGGGCACAGCTCTTTCTCGAGTTTCTCGAGTGCTCCCGCACTTTCCGCGCTTGTTTTTTCCGCCGGTGCGCGATGACTTTGCGCGAGCCAAGCCAAGACACGTTCGTGATGGAAGAGTGGTGAGCTCATGCGTCTACACATTCTTTGCCACTTACGAACCAGCCAAGCCGGGGGGGATTGCCGCCATAAGTGGCACCCCCCCCCCCTCGTGACTGAGACTCCTGGTACCCGGGGCCCACGGCCCCCCGCCCGCCCCCCCCCCGTTACTACGCCACTGGGTAGAGGAATCGGCCGTCCTCACAGGTTCTTCAAACACAACCAATTTTAGTCGCTCACACGCTGATGGCAGTTCCCTTCCATACATCACCCAAGCTGGAATTTTGCACGTTGCAACGTGAATGGAGGTATGTTGTTTGAATAAAAACTGCCAGCGCACCACCTTAGTTCTTCCTCCCCTCTCTTGGCGAGAGAGATTTTTTAGCTCTTGTACCATGCGCTCTGCCTGACCAGTGGTGGCAGGATGGTACGGTGCACCTGGCAGCGTTAAGGTGTCATTGTTTCGGTAAAATGTTTTAATTCGCTCGGACACCAGCGCTGCGCCCTTTGTCCGACACAACTTTTCTTGGCAGGCCGAATTTCGCCAAAATGACCCATAATTCTCTAATGACTTTGGTCGAGGTCACGTTGCCGACCACACGCACCTCTAGCAATTTGGTAAAAGCGTCCACAACAACTAGGAAGACCTGACCATTGACCGAAACCTACAAAGTTTATATGAAGGGTGTCACATGGTTCTAATGTCCTATATTCCACACGGGGATAGGTTCTTTCGGATATTGCAATCGGTGCCTTTGACAGGTGTTACATTCTGAAACTGCTATCTCAATATTCCCGTCTGTTCCGGGCCACCAAAACATAGTTCCGAGCGCACCTTTTCATTTCCCCAATCCCGCGATGTACAGAGTGTATCAGAGCCATCGCGTCTTTACTCAGTTTTGTAGGAATCACGATTCGTGCTACCCAACTTACACACCGTCGACAGCTCTGCCACTTTGCTGCGCGGTTAGTACCCCGGTGTTTGTAACAGGCCAAGGGTGTCCTCTAGGATGGCTCGGAATCCGTTCGCAGAGACGCCGTCGCGTGCTGTGTCTATCGCCATTTGTGCGGCGGACAATGGTGAACGGGACAAAGCCTCAAATATCAGGATATCTCTCTCCTGGAACCACCGGTTCATCATCTGTGCTTGAGAGCGGAAGCCGACCAAGCCCGTCCACAATCTGATAGTGTTTCTCTGGCCGGTACCTTAACTCGATGTTATGAGCTGCTTTATTGAACACCGGGTAATCATCGGCGACAGGTCTTGTGGAACGGGCTTCTCAGCTCCGAGGATGCCTAGCAGAGGCTGGTGGTTTGTATAGATGATCACACGCCGTCCTGTGACGTACTGATGGAAATGGATGACCCCAAACACGATGGCCAGGCCCTCTCGGTCCAGCTGAGAATAGTTTCGCTCAGAGCTTCTTAGCGCCCTAGTCGCGAAGGCAATCGGAGCCTCTCGGCCATCTGAGTCCAAATGTGCCAGCAAGGCACAGTTGACAAGGCATCGACCCGAAATACTTTACACAGAGTACTTAACTTTTTGTATTCTAGTTCATCTTAATGTGCGGCGTAATCATTTAGTTTTTAGCTACAGGGTGTTCCCAAGTGCTATTCGGGCAAAAAAAATCGTGTAAATAAATAAAATAAAAAGATCTGAGTGCCATGACACTTTTCCACAAACACGTTTCTAAGTGGTGCATTTATTATAGACTAAAATTTGAGCAGTGCGGGTTTCAGGAAAAATTGTGAAGCCTAAAACACCTCGTTATTTCTTATGCACAGGGAGGGAAACGGTAAAAACAGTTTGATTGATGCTGCCACTCACAGATGGCACCACCTAATCCAAAAACGTGAAGGCTTTGAGATGAACACCAGAGAGAGAGAGAGAGAGAGAGAGATGAAACTTTATTAGGCCCAAAGAATATGAGCAGGGGGCCTCAGTCCAGGCCCCCTCTGGTGGCGTACTCCAGAGAGGACTGGATGTACGCAGCCAGGTAAATTTGGTCCGATAATGTGGTGGCCGTAGTCAGCCACTCGGGGTTGGGGGGAGGGACAGGGAGGTGGGGTTAGGGAGGGGTGGGGGATGGTAGAGTTCCTGTATATAGCTACCTATGGTAGGTAGCTCCGCGTGTCGGTCTATAGACCGACACACTGTGTACAAACAAGTCCGCGTTTGCCCACACCAGGTGTGGGCACTGCGCATGCGCAGAAACCGAATTCACGTGAAGTGAAGCGTCTGCGCATGCGCAGTGCCGTCTACAGCGCCACCGCAGCTGCGTGACGTCAGGGCCGCGTGTTGGTCTATAGGATGATAAATACAACACCTAAACAACCTTTGAAAAATGCTTGAATGCCGTTCCTTTCTTTAGTTTATCGATAAAAAATATTTATACGCACCAAGGGTGCTCATAAACACCCTGATAATAATTTCATTTTCGCTTAATATTTTGCGGATTAAACGTTTTCGTGTTTGTTTGTTTTTTCGGTGATATATGCAATATTTTTTTAAGCAACCCAAAACCGGGACTTTGTTTTGGTTGTCTTTTTGTCAGCACTAGTAGTTGAACTCTCCACAGCATAACATTAAACGATCCCGAAAGTAGCTGACTATACTATACAGCAAAATACTGACTTTCCTCGATTAATACCAAAATCTGAAAAAATGCAGTAGATATTTATCGGCTAAAACTGAAAATTTGAAACCCTTGTGATGCACCCCTTTTAAAA